TGCCGCTGCTCTCCCGTCGGCTTAATCCAGGTGCATGTATCGTTCCCATCTTCACTTTAGGCTGTTAAAACATCTGTTACACTCATACGCAAAGGGAGTCGGCTTGTCAGACAGTCAAAATCACTCGTACACCCCCTCGCCCCAATCCATTGCCCCATTTTGGGGAGCGCCGTCTCCTAACTGGTCTACACCAGTGACCTTTGAACAACACTCATAAATTACGTTGTCTGGACGGCTAGACGGATGCGCTGAGATGTAAGCTGGTGCAGTACAATACATCATCAGCTTCAGCATTGGGAGCGTTGTCGGCATCCAGAGACCGACAAGCAGGTGGATGAGAAATCAAAGAAAACAAGAATTTACAACGACTGCAAAGGTTGGTTAATAGATTTCCCGTCCTAATTGCTTTCATCTAGCAAGGGTAGAGTTTATCCCCTACTTCCCACCCCAGCACACCTACCTCTCTCCGTCTTCCCGAGAGGGTATCGAATCTAAACTGGGACTCTTAAGTTCACACGAGAAGAACAACACCCTTCACACAGTCTCCTATTATATTGATACATTTGGATCAGTATTAAGCAATACCTGCATTACGGCCTATGTAGTTATCATGGTGCATGCACCAAAAAGTGATTGGGTTTACTATTATTACAGGAAAACTCGCCCTTTAAGCCAATTTACGACGACAGATTACACATCAACCAGGCGCTTTAAGCTCCAAGGCATAACTGATATGCTGTGGACTGGAAGGCACCACTGGCACCGCTCCTTCAGTATCACACCTTGTATGCACCATGAATGCTGTAGGCAAATGTAGCATAATTAAGTTATTTATGGGTTTGTAAACAGATAAACTGCCAAATTTCATCAAGTTTTCTTTCTCAGAGACAACTTAAACCAAATACCAAATAATGAGTAAATCACATAAGAAGATGGAGACTCAGCTGAGTTACTTTAAATTGATCAAACAGCCTAGATTCAGGTATAGGAGGCAATATACAAGACTTAGATCGAAAGTGCTTCAGAAGTGAGCATGAACACCCTAAACAACTCAGTAATGGATTGTTTAAAAGCTCGTGACAAGGCTTGGGATCCTAAGTATCCTGGAATTGGACATGATGAGGACTACCGCTGCGCTTGGTGCGTCGTCGAGAAGGCTGACAACAAACAAGGCCACAATGCTAGGAGCATTATGATCTGTGTGAATGAAGATTATCTGAACCCCACCTCAGAGTCAAAGCAATGGGCGTAAACTCCGCAAAGACAACCAACTAGCGTCTTTTTATGTCCCCTTCGCCGGCACTTTGATCTTTGTTCAAAGGCTGGTGCGATGGAAGCCGAACTTTTATCGAAAAGTCAGTCGGCCAGGCGGGTGGACAGCCGGTCGTTACTTCGGTGGTGAATAATGACGTTGTGACGATGACCTCCCCAGCCTTCTTATAGCATGCCGACAAGAACAACATGCACTCCACACACGCACAACGCATGCATAGGCAAGCCAGGCAAGCAGAGAGACAATCAGACAAGGATGCAGACACAGGTAGGCCGACAGACACATGAAACAGAGGGTAGTGCAGTGCAATTGCACAAAAAATACCACTTTTTCCGAGTTTGCCTTCTGGAACCCGCCCAGCTATCCATCTGTATAAAAGGATCCAAACAACAGGTGGTCGGGGCACTTAATATGCATCAAACCATAGTTTATCATTCATCCACTTTTACCACCTTTGCTTCAGCTCAGTTCTACCTCTCGATGGGATATGATTAGTTCATTCTCCACCACAATTATTGAAATCGGCTGCCGGCATAAAACCTCCAACTCAACCTGTCGTATTAGCCATAGTTTAGAACCCCGAATTCAACCAAAGCAAGAAACAGGAGAGACTTCTAGATTAAGCGATCGACGATAACGAGTGGTATTTGAGTTAAGATTAGGCATCATTGAGCTCTTTTAACCCATCCATTGCATTTATTCTTCAATTGGTGATAAAAGTCACCTTCCAGATCTTCGGGTGCCTTAAGACGTCATCAGAGGTAACCCAAGAGACGCATGGGTACCAAGATGGTGGGATTATTAACGGAGTCTACTCGTTGTGAAGAGTGTAATTAGTTTCACTAACGCTTTTGAGAGGGCTGACTGTTGTTGACAGAAAGGTATCTACTGTGAAGGAATGAACTTACTGGGTCTGACACCAAAAGCAAGAAAAGTACTTCCATTAGGATCATTCAGTGACCTTTCATTTACTTGTTCCCTCATTCCCTATTCATTCATTCACTCATTCAGTCATGCATTTAGAAACAACTAGCGGTCCGTATTTCCGTTGGAAGAAAAGAACCATTCTGCCAGCTAAGCTTAGACATTAACCAAGCGTAACCACGTCCTACCTTTGCCGGGAACGCGGAAATCTTTGTCATTTTTCACCTTGTAACAGAGGGCCTGGGGAGCTGCATACATTTCGTCACAGGCACCAACACAACTGTATTCATTAATTCAAGCATTCATTCATCGAGTGCACATGCCTTTGATCCTTCCGCCAGGGCCTGTTTATCGTCACTACCACTACCACCACCACCATCGCCAACGTCACCACCCGGTTTATGGTTGGCGTCTGGTGGCTGCGTCATCGTGCCCTCCGTCTATCCACCAGTTTCCTTTTATTGCCTCTCGCTGCTGTGGTAGTGGTGGCGGTGGTGCTATTCGTAGTTCCGGCCACCCATCCACTTTTAGGTGTGTGATTCTGCAAGGCGTGTGTGCTTTCCTTCCTTCGCTAGAGACATATGTAAAAACATTGGAGACAAACAATAACTGAACCTTCTCCAACTTCTTGCTTAACCCCTCGAATAACATCGACAAATTAGCCGCAAAGAAGTTTTCAAAGATTTCTATCGCGAAATAACGTTGACAAACTATGCGATGTATTTACCAGTTTCGCGAAGTTAGTGTTTAAAATGAGGTTGCTGAATAAATTCAATGGCGAATTGCTAAAAACACTTTTTTCACGCCGTCAACAGGGCTTGCAATACATTCACTCACTCAGATGCACAACTAACTGAATAGGGTTTTTATTCGTGATCTTCCTGGGAAGGCGTGGGTGCAATCCACGTTCTGGAAAAAAGACCATACAGCTAAGTGAGATTAAGCTAAATGAGTAGCTGATCCCGGAATTCCAAATTTTGTTGGGTGATTTAAAGATGAACGGCTCACGGTTTGATCTAGTCGTAGAAGTAAATCTGAATGTCTACGGTACTACTTTACGAAGATATGTGCTCAAAGTTACTAAGGTCGCGAAACAAATGTTTTCGAAAAACGTAGTGGTATAGCCCTCCACAGCTGACGTTCAAAGACAGCAGCTAAAAAGTCGTCACCTCCTCCGCTCTTTCTCCATACTGACATTGAAGAATGCTATAAACCAAACAGGGAGGAGAGAGACATTAGTCACTGTGATGAAGAAAAGAAGCAATGAAAGGGGACAAACTGGGGGCGCGAAATCACGTTGACCAAACGACCGACGGACCAATTAATGACACGGTAAGGAAAACCATATAAACACAATGCACACACACACATGTGAAGGCGGAAGGGCGGGCAAGGGGCCAGCTTAACAGCTCGTAAAGGAGGAGATCAAAGGCCATGCCGCCGAGAGAATAATAAAACCAATAAAACCGTGACTTTTTCGTCCACACTCCCAGCAATGCTTGTGGCTGTGGTGGAGTGTCCGATTTGTGGACTGCGCAAAAGCACTGCCACGACTAGTACCGCTACAAAAGCTAGTTTTTCTGGAGTCCACTTTTCCAACCGGCGTGAGTGAGTCTCAAGAGCTCAAACTGACGCTGTTGACAGATAAAGGGCAAAAAATGGTACGTGAGGATATCAAATTATTAAGTGTGTTATTATCCCCAATGCTAACTTATTTTCAATTTTAAAACCCTAAAATCGAATAACGATGACACTTCAGTGTCGGAATAGACAAAGAAAAGCACCACTAAAGCCTTAAAGAAGGGAAAAAGCACCACAAAGGAGGAAGGCAAAAGTGTACAAAATGGCGGAATGTTTTGGTCACTCACTGTATTATATGAACGATTTAAGATTTTAAAAACACTCAAGCATTAATCGACGCTTTTCTTAGCTGCATACAACCAGCCTACCATGTTGTAATCTCCACAATGATTGTTCATGGCTTTACACCGTTTCTGCTCCAACCCGTCTGGTATCCTTGCCCAACCAAAAATAATTTTATTCACATCCATGACTCACTTTTGGTGTGCTTCCGGTATCACATCATCGAATATCACAAAGATCATTGCGCCAGCCGCAAATCCCAGTGCGTAGGGCTGAAGGGGATGGATATACTGCACGGTGATGCAACCTAAAATGCCAGCCAATGGTTCAACAAGTCCCGAGAGTTGGCCGTACCAAAAACTCTGCCAGAACGAGTAACCAGCTGCTCGCATTGGCAAACTAACTGCCAAGCCTTCAGGAACGTTTTGGATAGCCATGCCCAGCGCAAGATTTCTATGAAGGCACCGCACTTATCCGGTTAAAAAGATTACCTTACTTAGTGGCAGATTAAGTAGGGAGAATATTACCGCGCTCGCAAAAAGGCACTTCCAGCAGCACTGTCGTCTCCGGCGCCAAAAGCGACGCCGACGGCTAGACCTTCAGGAATGTTGTGGACCGTGATAGCGACAAGGAACAGCCAGACACGATTACTAATCCTTGGTGGACGGGTGGGGAGTTTGGGTTTGTAGAAGGTGAGAGGAGAGACGAAATCATTACCACGGTAACGAACTGAATCAGTGGTGAGTTCTGAAGGAATAAGGCAAGAGAGCGATAACCGATTGATTCTGTGCTGAAGAGCAGAAGTGATAGGTGGATGAAACTGGGACAGACGAGACAGATGTGTGAACTTGGATGTTTGGATGGAATCATGGCAGATGGATGAGTGAATAGATAGGTAAAACTAAGGTCGATGGTTGCACAGAGTGCATGAATGCATTCAAGGTGGGGGAATAAAAAGACGAACAGATGGGCAAAGTCACCATGAATATCCTATGCGTCTATTGAGTGCGATAGCTGAAACTAGGATGGATAGAACTGGAGCGAGTGAATAAATCCGAGAAGGCTGGAGGGAAGGAAATGGAATGGATCGGTAGAAGCATGAACAGAAGAAACTGGTATGGACAGGGTGGATTTGAGATAGATGAATAAGTCGGAGATAGGGAGGCAAATGTATACACTTCCTCCCACACCAGCTGCTTTCACCTCATTGACAAAACTTGGTCCCTGCTCTGGTCTCCAGTGTTAGAATAAAAGTCGTCCACTAGAAAGAAAATTTTCATCCAAATCATCTCGCAACCTTCCATGCTGATATATTTATGGCCTAGTTACATCTTTAATGGTTACGAACTTCGTTCACTGATACGTTGAACTAATTCCGTGATGGATTTTTTAACCAGTCTCACAGACATTCATTCCTAAAGATGACACTTCCTGGGGGACTAGATTTAGTGATTGATCAAGCAGACGGGGTAAATGGTGATGATGGAGAATGCTATGAAGCTCAAAGCACTTCAAAGAAATGTTTTTTATGCAAAAATAGACAAGACGGCACAAAATAACAACACAAAACAAAGAAACCGCAGTTAGTAGAGGAAAAAAACAAAAAAACCCAAACAACAGTGCCAATATCGACCTACTTTTTCGGCCGCCTATGAAAAAAAGAAAGGGGAGCTTAAAATCAGTTCCTTTTTCAACACTAGATAAGGAATTACGAAAAGAAAAGTCAATTTTTCAAAAGGACGCACTTGCAAAAAGCTGCCTATCCATGACTGGGGAGTAGACAGGACTACCCGGCTCGCTAAGGTCGCCATCGTCAATGAGATCCTAAAATGCGAGCACAAAGCACTAATTAGTCGACCCTAGCGGGGCATATGATCTGGGATGGTTGAAACAAAATATCATCGTGTTTCGGGAATCTCTATTGCAACTTCCTGAGATAACTCTTCCACATCAATCATCATAGCCGTATCTGAATGAATTGAAAGGATGGGTCTTCTCATCACAGCAAAGAAAAACTCCCAATTTAATGGAAGTGGTGTTACTGGCGTATTTCGTGTTAAGGGAGTTTCATTTGGTAGTGACGAGAGAATTTCGTGATTCAATTGCTCCTTGTGGGGACATTTATTTAAAAGTAGAACTTAAGTGACCGAAAAAGTAGTGCGGTTTTCGATGTACCTCGCCACAATGACTTAGGGAATATGGCAAACACAATCCAGTTTATAATTCATTACGAAGCCTACTGCCCTTCAAATGGTAGCCTCTTGTGGTCTCTGCTTTTCGCTTATTTTGAGCCCTCGCGTCGGTTGAATACATTGATGAGTGTGATTCGACTTTGTCTGCTTTACAAATCTAGCATGACTCGGTTCCAAGTCTGCAGAAGCTTCTTGCAAAACTAATTGCGTAGCGTTTTGAGAATGTGTATACATTACCACCGATTTATGACGAGGGATGTAAGAAATCTCAGTGATCTATGCCAAAACAGCAAAACTTTTGTAGTCACTTGATGACATTTTCTCAGTTGCAAATTTCTCCACATTCAGCTATTCAAAACAGACGTTTTCTCCCGTCCCGCTTTTCAAGTGGTAACCAGGCCCCATTGACGCGGTATCATGGTTAACAATGAAAACATTTCGCAGGAAGAAAACTTCAACAACCACAAAGCAAATATCTTCAAAACAACGTATTTTAAAGTAGTACTCAAGTTTGGACGATACTTTACAGCAAACACTCCTGAGTAAAAACAATAGGACAAAATTCACACTAACTCGCTCTTTCATCCCTACCCACCCATTCAACAGTGCTGCTCTTTAACTTGCAAAATAAAAAAACATCACTAGATTTTCAGATTCTCCTCCTCCCCATCATCACCCCAATGTACCTATTAAGGCCTCAATCACCGCCATTTTTCCCTCCTGCTAGTGCTTTTATTTCCAGCCAAACTGAAAGCACCTTGTAATCATCCACTTTAGAGACCAAAAAAATTCCCTAAATAAACTCGGCAGAAGACACGTACTTGTTCGGGAAAGAAGTAATCCACAAGGATGATGAAAATGGCACCCGCAAGAAATCCGACAGCACCGGGTAAATAGCACAGACTGCCCATTGAATTAGTCAACTTCACCTCTTCAACCGTTTTAGCCAAATCGATGGCGGGTTGGAGTAGTGACCAAAAGGAGGCGGCTAGCATTACCTAGGTAGCAAGGAGAGGACAATTTCTTATGAGTTGCCATGCGAGTCGACGATAGTAGGATTACGGAATCGGCAATCTTGGACTCATAGTTCATTTCAAAGTAAAAATGATGTGTTTAACAAATTTAGTAGTAATATTGGAAGTTTATTTCAGGAAAAAGATCTTGGGGACGATGGTACTAGGGAAGACGGTAATGTAATATTTCAATACGAAGGCAAAGTAGTTGTAAACAAAATGAATACGAAATTGGTAAGAATGGCAGCAGACTTGATAAATTGGAGTTGACTAAAGGAAGCTTAAAAGTAGAGGCGCAAAGCTTCACGCCAAAGCTGAGTTACCCGTAATGACAGGCTAGAAAAATCTAATTCTAAATATGTATTCAGTCTATGAAAGCGCAATTTCAATACCCCAGCAGAAAATCCCAAGCTTCCATCGAGAAAAAGATTCTAAAAAATATGAAAAAATTATTCAATTATTAATGAAAATTAATAAGATGCCCCAAAACCGTCACTCGCATTATGTATCCGCTTCCTATTGGTCGGCTGAAAGACACAGAAAACTGCTCCCAGTGCCGTGGCCCCCCAAGTCAAGGCAGTCCCGATCGCAGTTTGTGCTATTGGCGAGTAGCCCTCAATCATTGCTGATCTGAAAAAGGCCAATGGCAAATTTAAACATTCAAAACTCTACAAGACCAAGAAATACATAAAACTTCAGCCAATTAAAGAGTAGCTGACCTCCATCAATAACGCTGATTGGTTATGCGAGAAGTAAATGCGAAAAATGCTATATTAAGGTGGATTTGAGTAAATATTTAAGCAGTTACACCAAAATTGAGAACTACGAATGCAAGCTAATCTGATTTTGCAAAAATAGAGACAAAGTATGCAGATTATAAATAATAAACTTTTGCGTTAAATGTCGAAGTAGGTCCATACCTGAGTGTACTTCACATTCAGGTTTCGCTGAAATACTAAATTATCAACTAGAGCTGGATCGAAGTTGCTTCTTGAAGAATGAAAATGATACTCAAAAATCGTTTAGATAAGAAAAAATCCCTATCTCATCATTATTTGCAAAATTTAAAAATGAGGTGCCTAGCCGAAAAATAACCCATACTTGTTAAGGAAATCCTACCATTTAAGACAAATGTTAATTACAAAGTCGTAAGACAATAGCATCAACTGATTAAGTGTTTTCATTTTTATACAAAAATACCAGCCTATCAACCACCAATGAGCTAAATAAGACTTAAAATCGGTTAGACAGAAAGCTAGTCAATCAGATTCAAATTATGACGCCAAAAAAAAAGGTTAGGGGAATACTGATGCTAAATGTCTGAATAGCCATTACTCCATCAAGAAATGCTTTCAAACAATATATTGTCCTGCTGAAATGGACGCCTCTCTATTGCATCTCGACACCAAATTGACACCCAGGTCAACTTATCTGCATTATCCGACCGCCATAGTCCCATCTTAAGTTATTTGAGGTTAAGAGTACTAGAATGGACCCTGGTGTTCCTGACTACCTACATTTGCTTGTTCCAATATACACATCACATTTCGTAGTTTCATAACAAATGGATAAAAAAAGCACTAAAGAATAAGTTGACATTAAGGCGTGGCCAGGGGTAACTATCCAAACAAATCGCAGATACCTTAAATAATAAAAAAAACTAAGATGTGCAAATTAGAGCTATTGCAGATTAGCCCAGCCATAAAAAGGGCACCAGAGTGGAGTAAAGAATGTTCAATTATTAAAGTTTCAATAGATTAACCAAATCACAAACGAAAGAAAAAACAGTAAGTATCAAAAATACACATTTATTTACTTATTAAGTCCTGCACATCTAAAAATAAAATATCAAATCCCACATCCAGCCATTATGAAAAAGCCGATTGATTGTAAACATCACCCCATGCCCTCTAATCAATTCCCACCTCCCTGCAGTAGCCAATCAGCGGTGAGCTTGAGAGAGGGCAGATTGAAAGCGCGACCGATGGCAGAATAGACGGCCAGTCGGCGACCAGTGAAGGCTCGACCACCGCGAAAAGTTAGTTCCAGCGGGGTAGCGCAATCGGCACAACGCCCGTGAGACCCACCGCGGGCTATCGAAGACTCCTGGATGCCACCACCAGAGATGCACTTGGGGCACTGGAGATCCTGTAGTGGAATGACTTAACGGTTAAGGCTCTCCACAACTTTATTTGGCCTAATCTTTGAAGGACAGTTCAGGGTGGATGATTAGAAGGATGAATGGGTGGGGGTTACAAAGAAGCAACCAATAAACTACGGCCTTCACACACAAATTCAACCAGTTCTAAACATACAAATGATGATGACGATCATGAAGCAAATTCTGTCAGGCATCTTCGCTTCCTTTGCAGTTTGGTTCAAGGACTATCATCCCGTGGTAGTAAGTGCGGAACTTCCTCATATATCACATTTATCAGGAATTAATAGGATTCCGTCATACGTTGGATACCGTGAGCAGATGTGCGTGTACTTCGAAGAATGACTTCAGTACAGAGGGCGCTTAGGCAACTTCTGAGAGAGCCGTAACTACAAGCGCTTAGATGCTCGTTATTCCCTTTACTCCATCGTCGTGAAGCGCTTAATGAACGCAATTTCGTGCGAATGAAGAAGTAAAAATAGCGGGTAACTACTCGCACAGATGACTTTAAGTCCCAGTCCTGCGATGGGACATCCAGAAGCTCATTGGTAAGTTATGTGAACGCTCTAACCGTCTCAAAAACGACCTTACACCCGCCATTGAGGATTCCATTCACATCCACACGGCCTCAGCAGTCATTTCTGCGAACACTTAGCTTGGAAAAAGTCTGTCTCAGTCAGGGCAATTGACCCTCAACCTGTCGTGCAATTGCACATTATAAATCTTTCTGTGAGATCGATGAATACATTCATTTGCGAACACTTCCAATTCCAAAGGCTTAGAGCACACTGACAGGTGGACCGGCCTAGAGTGGTTCAGCCGTACAGAAAAATCTTGCGATGCCAAATGTTGGCCAAACGCTGCTGGGAGGCCGAATCAAAAAACAGAATAGGTTTCGATTACTTGAAAGTTGCTAATTTCTTCCCTAAGCTCATAAATCCTGTTTCAGCAAGAACACCTCCCATACTAAAAAGCAGTTTTAAAATCATGAACAAGATGATACGGCGTTGAAAAAATTCATATCATCACAGGAAAGAAAACTTTCAAAAATGGTTTAAAAATTACGGATAACATTAAAAACACCCTGATGAAGTTAAAAAGCTACTAAAGTAATCCACGACTGAATCAAACCTCAAAAATAAACACTCCCAAATCACCTGGAGAATAAATTGTCTCGCAAAGTGTTCAAGCTGGGCCAGTAGGCTCGTTTCAATAGCAGAGCGGGAATAGGGCGTTCTACAGTGCGGACAAACCGGGGCCCACACCATACCGCCACTGCTATCCGGTAACCAAGCCACACACCTTTCCCGACAGATGTCCAAATCTCGGATAAAGTTGCATGTAGCACATGTCACCTCAGGTAGGTGGACAAGTAGTGATCTAGTCCCCACCTCGCCGTCTCCACCGCCAAATTCGTGGGGTGCATGCCACGCCGCCTCGGCCGAAAACTCACCTACTCCAAGAAGACGAAATAGGTCATTTTGCATCTCTCCCACCTGCCTTGCGATACACGTGTCCAGAGAGAGAAGTTGACTCAGCGTCTTCACAAAATCGCAGATTGGGGTAAGTCGAGCTCGTTCGCTCCGTCCCTCTAGCTCCGCTGGGTGTGGTGGAAGCAGTGGAGGTACCAATTCTTCCGTCTCCATTTCCGTCTCAACTCCTACCTCATCCAAGTATGCGGCAATGTCAGAGCTGCTGAAACCGCTACCAATGTCACTAGAGGGACACCAAGGTCCACCTTTCCTCCTCAACCGCTGAACAAAGCTGTACAGCTCTGGTCCGATTTGTTCGCGCACGAGACGATCGAGGAAGTCAAAAACACCAGGGGTTAATGTGGCGTCGACCAGGACGTCGTCGGGACTGGTGACAGCAGCTTGGGTCAGACGGTTAGATTCGTTAAGCACGGCCCTATGCGTAGCTAGAAGGTAGCCAGCGATTAATGTGTGGAATTTGGATCGAATGCCGCGAGATTTGGGAAGGTAACGAGCCATGTGCCACCACATGTCGACTTCTACTTCTTTATTGGACTTTGGATCTAATGATGCTCCCGTCACCTGGGAGGAATCGCAAAGTGCAGTGGCTTCCAGATCAATCTAAAAAAAGGGAAAGGAGCGGAGAAGGTTAGCACCAAGAAACAATTCTAATTTCGGTGGCTGGATGCTACTCCGAAGAGTTACAGAAGGAAGGCACCTGCTATGAAAGTTTGAATCTTTTGGTAACTAGTATAATCTGAAATTGCGCGCGATAATCAGCGGTAGATACCTACATTGAGCGAATCGTTCAAACCAGTACCAATTACTTAAAAAGCTGAAAGTAACCTGGATTGGCAGGTGGGTAGAGTTAAAATGGCAGCAAAGTAGAAAAAGGGGGTAGAATTTAGGTATGACTATGAGGTGTTACTTTCAGGCAAACGTTCCGACGAAACGTGGTCTAAAATATGATAGCATTCGTTGTGGAACATCCTTCAGCTTTAAAAGAATCGCTTCCAGATTCAATTCTCACGTCAGATGCGAACTTCAGGAAATTTGATCCAAACCGGCCATTGCAAAAGGACGCATTTACCAGATAGTCGTCTTTTCTATCTAGCGACCAATTACGATCCACTTGAAGACTTAAAGATGAAGAATCCGAATGATGATTATGATGCAGCACCTGCGCTTGTTAGATGGAGCTATTCAACTAATCCCTCAGCTATTTTTAGACTTTTAAGAATATTAACATTTTCAGCACTGCGGTGGGATGTATCCGATACCTCTCACTGCTTCCACAATTGATGGCTAAAAAAGACTCATCCGAATAGATCAGTAAGTTATTAACGGATAAAAAGCGACCACTACGGATGACTACTTTTGCAGAAAAACAAAAGTCAGTTTCTGTGGAGTGAGACTTCCAGCGGACGAGGTCAGATCATTCCCATGAACGAAAGATATCAAAAGATCTAACACCTAAACATTTTACCCGGCAGTGGAAATAAAAAGAGCTCTCACATTGAGACCTGCATAGTTGGCGGGATCGTACCACAGAAGCTGATGCCATCCACGAGTGTATTGAAGATCCAGATGTGAGAAAAATGGCTTTGCTTGGAGCATTCGAGAGAGACCATCAGCTCGTGGAAGGGCGTCAACAACGTCGAGCTGATGGGTGCAAAGGATAAGGCGGCTAAAGTTGGCGTAGACCACATCCAGACCGTGGGTTTGGTTCAATTCGTCCACCAGTTTTAAGAAGACCTAGAGTGGGTGAAAGTGAATGAGTCAATTAAGTGAAACAAACGCGACTTGATGTGGTGGAGAGCCGAATTTTGATTAAATACCTTAAGTAGATGGATGGATGGTCGGATAGAGGATGAGTGGATGGGACAGAAGAGAAGGAGTGATTGAGCTAGCCGGATATGAACGGCTAGGTTGCAGAACAGAATTCTAGTTCAAAGCAATCTCAGGTTCGTAGATGACTAGTTATAGATTTTATCATTTTCTTACGACTAGATTGGTCTAAAAAGATGGTCGCGACTGCCCACAAACTTAGGCTTCAACCATACCAAAGGAGAGAACACGTCATTCAACCATACTTTGAGTATTGTAGACAAAAGATGTATGCTGGGGACGGGAATTCACTACTTTGGGCACGCGTGATTAGTCTTGAGATGAACATCCTGCAGAGTAGGAACAACAGTCCCATTGTGGCACCCGTCTATATCCACAACATAAAATTGCATTAGGTGAATATCCTAGCAAATTAGCTAAATTCCAGATATTGATAAATGACGATAAGATGGAAATTGAACAGAAGCATTCTATCGGAATTCCGGAACTGACAAAATTCCATCAAAAGAAGTATCTCTTTTAGATTGAGGAACTGATGAGGGAAACCGAAGATAAGAGGATGACCAACCTTCTTCATGAGTTTCTGCAGTGTACGTCGAAGCGCAGGGTCGTAAAGAAGGGAGGTAGAGGAGCGCAACCAATGGTAGAAGTAGATGATCTGCTCATCAGCCAGAGGGTTTTTGAACTGAGTCACGTCCTTCACCAATGACACAACCATAGTTCTAAAAGAAGGAATTACCAGGTCAAATCGAAAATTAAAATTTTACACTCCTGCACAAAAGGCATGCAACCATGGCTGTCGATGCTACACGCAGCGATCAAAGTCAAGCGTCTCATAACTGCACCTCATATCCGGCAAACATGACGCGCATGGACAAGTCCAGTTTGGACGCCGTCAATCAGCATGACAGACGCAGTAATCGCGCAATCGTACATTGAACAACGTGTGATGACAAACGAAAATGTACAACCACGCATATAGAAAACTCTAAGCATGATCTTTTCAATGATGAGATGCTCAGTCACTCAGCAGTAAGAAATTTCGACAGCATGAATGTATACTTGTCAGTGACAAACTCGCCCATAGGGGTGGTTTTCAGTGCTCTTAGCTTCCAGTAGATATTTAAATCAAACCATGGAACGTCTGATTGACATACAACTACCTACTGTAGAACTTAAGGCAACTAATCTTACCAATGGTAACGGTGAGCACAACCACTAATGAATATTTGAAATTTCGGAGTTTGCGGACGCTGGATACCAGGACAGGTGAGCAGGTGGGCTAACCTGGGATGGTTCAGCCGTACCAACAAACTTTTCTGCACTGGACCCGCCTTCCAGGTACTAGTCAAACTTTGATGGAACAGGTGGATGAATGCAGCGGGAAACTGCGCCAACACATGAAAGGAGTTTCCAATGTCATTCATCGCATAACCCGCAACAAAATAACACTTGGAGCGTAAAATAAAAGACCCCCACTTTCCGGCTGGTCAATTTAAAATCCTGTTTAGATAACAACCGCTCACCGAAGCACCCGAAAGGCCGCCGAACACGCAGCAGCCTCGTCATAATTCGTGATCTGCGCGCCCACATTGACTCCACGTCGCAACTGCTCTTCAATGGACTGTTGGGCGGGCAGGAGACGATCGAAAGTCAATACACTGGCGCCCTCCAACTCTGGAATACGGCTGGCAACAAGCATCGTGTTCACTGCAAGATTGGATAGCTCCAGATCAACGCAAACGTAACGGTAGCAACTGGGCCGATTTATCTCCACTACCTAGGATGAGGTGAATGCATTTTGTTATTGACATGTTGACTAATCCTAAATGTCAACGCTGCTTCGAATTCACCACAAAAACAATCAACACTTTCCACGACAACAAATACCTTTTTCTGTGTATCTTAACATAGGTAGTACTTCTGGAACCTCAGAACTTCATCTCATTGAAAGTAAAAACTCACAGCTACTTAAAAGCATATGATCAGTGGCCACTCACATTAGCCTCCTCCATTTCCAGCAGCAGTCTCTGATCGTACACCTCCTTTCCACCAAAATCCGGTTGTGCCGAGCCCGACGCCCACAAAATTTGGTTTGACTTCCATAAATGACGCGCAAAAAAAAGATCGCATCCGAATTCGGTAGTGCTGACAGCTGGGGCACCGTTTCCAGACGCTTGTACACGAACTGGTGCCTCAGCAACAGGCACATTTCCCACCGGAATATGGAGGTACCGGGCCAACTCCAACTGGTTTTCGAATCGTGCCTCCGACTAACGGGCAAAACAGTAAAAATGTTGATGTTTTTAAAATCATAATCACTGAAGTTTACTCACCCACCTGTAGATAAAACTTGATGGCACGTTTCACAACGGTATTCTGCCAGTTAAGAACACTATATGCATCGTCCGGACCCTCTCCTGATACTCTTTCATCATCTCCTGTTCCACCCAACGGCACTACCGGCATTTCTGTAAGAGAGGTCAACTGAGGGGCCCTCCGACGGTTAACCATTGCTTCGCCTAGAGGCCAGGGTGCATCCACGCTAGATGTCGAGGTGTAGGACGAAGAAGGAGCGTGGAGAAGAACAATGATTGGAGCGCTGTCGCCAGTGGAGGTGTTTTCTTTCCCTTCTTCCCCTTCCAATTCCTTTTGACGGCTTGGGCGACCTTGGCCACGTTCTTGATTCGCCGAAGTAATCCAGCGTTGAACGATGCGGCGTGCAGTAGGAGGATCAGTCTCAATACGGGTTTCAAAGGTGAGGGAGGAGGGAAGGTTAGTGGTGGTAGAGGAGAAGTGTTTTTCGAAACTGCGGGAGTACAACCGGTCCAAATTGTTAGGTAATTTGTTGATTCTTGCAGTGTCAACCACGCAGACGTAAGCGCGTTGCGTCCATGGAATAACCAGAAAGTACATCTACAAAGAGATTAGAATGTAAGACTCACGGCTTTGTGAAAAAAAGGAGCCCTGCAACCACCAGGAAACAAATCTTGAATATTTCAGTGTTCCATCCATACTGGTGTGGTGGATGTTTAATCAGCCATAGCAAAGAAAAAAATCCCAGAACTGATTTGTGAAAACGCGGAAACAGGTTGAGATAGGACACAAGAGAGTCAAATATGAACGCCAGCATTGATACTCCTATCGAAGAGGAGGGAACAGCGTTTTGTCACACTCTACGTACTGTAGGCAGAAGGCATGGGCGTATTGAGATACATTCTACTCAGTACAGAAACAAATTTTCCTCCCATTGAATTATTATCCATCAGTAAATAAATGGGCTACAAGAGGCGCTCACCCCAAAGCGGGATCGGCGAGTTTATAAGGAAATTAGTCAATTCTAAGTAATCGAAACCTGTCCCGTTATTTAACACGACCTTCCAGCAGCGCTTAACTAGTACCTGACACCGAAAGATTTACTGATGCGCCTGAACCACTCTAGGACAGCCCACCAGTCTCACCTCATCATTGATGCTGAAATGCTAACCTTTGAGGTGTCTGTGTGGTCTAGAACTTCGAAATTACAAATGTTCGTGAATGATTACATTCATTGCTCCCTCGGAGAGATTCATGCCAGCTGCTACAGCTACAGGAAATGATATTCAGGATGTGGAGCATGAACACAAATTAAATATAGGATTTTCCTTGATTCAAAAAATTATTCCCTAAAAGCTCACCTGTCTCAGCGCCTCTCTCCGAGGCATCAACTGTCCCACATCATGATAAAAGAGGAGGAACATCTTTCTCAACCGACACCCTCCCTCTCCCCCTTCCAGGTATGTATGCTGCTCCAACGATCGAAATTCAAGCTGTTCCAATCGAAAGCTCTTATCTACACCACCATCTCCCATCATTGTCGCCTGCTGTTGCTGTTGTGGTTTGCGACGCGCAACTGCGCAGAGACACCCTAGTTTCGCGAGTAGACGAAACAGTGGTGGAACTCGAAGCTCGTAGACACCCTCCACTTCAGGTCTAGCCAAATCTGCCGCAATATCGGCAGCGTGGGAGGAGTAGACGTCTTCTGGAACCGTATATTCGTAGAGATGGTAGACGGGGTGGGAGCGAGGAAGAGTGTAGTTGGATAATGACGTGACAGCTGAACTTCCTTCACTACTACCACCTACGGTGGTAGATGAGACCTTCCGGTAGAAGGTGCCAGACTCTTGCGCCTTGGCAACGCGTTGGTTGACGTAGAAGTGACGTGAAAGATGGAGAGGGATGGAGTGGAGTTGAGGACCACTGGAAAAGGTGTCCAAGGGGGAGTGGACGTAAACCCAGAGGGTGTACAGACCTGGCTGATTCGAACTCGGGACTATCTCGACTATCTGGTGGGAGGAAGGAAGTGAATATTGAGGAAAAGGAATCAAATAATCGAGGACTCATAGGCAGAAGATAGACAGAGGACTCACTTGCCAAACACACTGCGACAATGCAGCTCTTGTGCGTGTCAGAAAACCACCAAGACCCCTGACTCGTTTTGCCAATGGGGCACCACCACCACGAACGCCGCTTTCCTTCAACCACTTTCTCCGTTCCGCTTGCAGCTTCCACTTTTGCTGATGAAATTCCAACCATGCTCGAGCTCCAACCTCTTCCAGCTTCGGTGGATCACCCAACACCTCTCTCCAGTGTTTTGGTGGTCCTGGAGGTGCTTGAACAGCCATCAAAGGGCGCTTTTTTGTCACTCTTGGAGTTAACATCGCTGTTGAGGCTTCCGACGCTCCTGTTGGTGTATCTTCAATGTCCACAACGCCAATAACTGCATTTGTAGAAATTGAGGTGGGAAAGAGGTCCGTCAGCTTTAATTGACGGCACGTATCCGTCTTCTCATGCAGTCTTTTGTGCAACCAATCCGGATGAGCCACGCGAGGCACCGGATTAGCTACTTGTTGAAGAGCCGCAGGAATCGTGATAATCTTTTGTATAGCACCTCCCAAACGCTCCAGATAGTAATCCCAGTCGAGGATGGCACGAAGATCCACATTTGCACTGATACTCGGGTCCTTCAACCACTTACGCAGAAAGTGACGCTTCACTGAAGGATCCGCCTAGATAAAAGTCAGTTTAGCTAGAGAGCAATGGATAAGCAAACCTGGAAAATAGCCAACGGAATGGCTCTCTCCGTCACTGGTGCCTGTTCCGGTTGTTTAGCAATAATGAATCGACAGGAAAGACCCGCCTCTTTCACTACCGCGTCGCCGAGAAACTCCGCCAGTCGTTTTGCCGTGCTGATAGAGGTTGATTTTTGCAACCCATAGTCTTCCAACCTCCTCGACATGCTCCTATTCTCCGCAATCAGATCGAATAACTCCGAGTCGGGGATTCCCGCGCCATGCGCGTGCAACACGTCTAACCAATGATCAGCGACTTTCGCTACTGCAGCATAGACCTCAGTCAGGCTCGAACCATGTAGGAAGGCTTCAAAAACGGAGGATTGAAATATCTTAATCAACTGCAATTCCCCATTCCGTTTCACCTCGAAGCCCTTGAGCTCCGCCAGAGTGCCGTCAAAATTAAAAACGGCGTAACGCTTCTTTAAACGCTTGCCCTCTTCACGGGCCGCGGGTAGCACCATGGCACGGTAGGGCCCATCAATTTCAAAGGCGATAGTGTTCTCCGAGCGAACCTGATAGGACAAATTGGCACCGGAGAGAAGTTCGTGGTACTGGTGGTTGGTGAAGAGATCACGAACCATTTGGTTTAGCACGGCACCCGGATAGGATATAGAGAGACGTTTACCACTAGCCAGACGGAAGGTGAGGTTCTGCGGGAAGCTGGCGGGCAGTATGCACCAGATGCCATCAGTGTCCAACTCTAAACTGCGGCCGATCTGGAAGAAGAGAGATAAGTTGAAAGCTCGGCCTTGTGACGGCCCAAGTATCCCATTTAAGGCCAACGTTGGATAGCATTAATCGCAATTTGTCTAACGGAATAGAGTCTAAGCGCATAGAAGGCAGGAATCTTTCGGAGAAAGCTGAATATGAGTTGTTGAAACCATTCCAACCTTTAACACACATTGTGAGAACCCGATCAACCTAATGGCCAGGTTAGAACGAATTGGAAGTGATAAGGAAAGAGTGATTTAAAATCGAGATCTGAGGATTTAGTTAATATAAATTTGGCAAAGGACAGAGAACAATCTAGATAGGTGGATAGCTGAGGAAATCAAAACAGACCATAACTTCAAGATCCAACATTACATTCTGTATTTTAAAAAATCGAATGTGACAAATGGTCCTATGAAAGCCGACTGGCACTCGAAAGGGGGTCTCCACAGAGCCCGTGCAGTTTTCAGCCCTGCGTCAAAATGATTCATTTACTTTGGTGCAGAGAATCCGTCATCCATCAATCCACCTAAGTCCACGAGATGCAGTAGCACTACTAAAAGGGGAGAATCTTGCTGCGATGTGAATTCATCACTGTAACAACTTCGTTTCAGTTTCATGGGTGACTACAATTTTCTGGAGACAGGGGCCCAAGGGTGATCACAGAGAGGAGTATGAAGTAAGGTTAGGACAAGGCACAAGCGATGCAGTGAAATACTGCCATATTTGCATAGTTCAACACGTAAATCCTTCCAGTCTCCCTAGGTTAAAACCCCTGCTTTTGCACCATGGAGAAAAAAGCAACTGGCTTTTGGCTACTTCCACCTCATTCCATATACGGCTTTTAGAGAGACCTCAGGCGCCAAAGAACTAAGTTGTAACAATTAGTGTTTCAAATTCAAAGCTCCAAAACCTGCTGTAAACCGACGAGGTCACATGTTTTCACAGGAATTGAGATTGTCAAAAGAGTGTGTGGTAGCAAGCAAATACAAAGTGTAAGCAATGAAAAAGCACCCAGTTGAAGCAAAAAAGTCCCAAGAAGTGCATTTAAATGGCAAATATTGCAAAGAAAGGGTGCATATCTGGAAAAAAAGTGCTTTTGAGTACCACTCTATGGCCTGTTCTTCTTCTACTTGGACCCGGGAACGATCGAGTAATGAATTTCTAACTCGAGTGATCAAATTAAGTAGATGAATAAGCCGAAGAGAAATGAATCGGCGAAAGGCGAGTAGACTGACTACAGATAGATAGATAAGAGGTACTGAATGGATAACACAGGAATGCCATCCAAATGAAGTATGAAGAGTACGCTAAAGTAGCAAAAGACAACGTGTTACAAAAAGATTTAAAATTGAAAATGCGAAGAAAAATATGCAATCAACTGATGCGGTTGAGTCAGATACCATGCTATTCAACCAAAAATGTAAATATGAAATCTGAAGTTCAATCCAAAAAATTAAAAAAATTACACAATTCACCCAGTGATTAAATACTACTAAAGCTCTCGATCATTTAAGATTAATGAGTGGTGTACTGCTTATCGGTTAACTGACTGGAGAATAGATGCTTAGATCAAGAGTAGATGAACAGCAGAGAAACGGATGGCCATGGATCGTTTCGGGACATGGGGGCAAGTCCCAGAAATCAGATGCTCCTAGATCGCAGCTTAAAGAATAGGTTAGCTGACGGAGGGATTGCAGATAACCTTTCCCCTATTGACACAGGTTTTTTACCAGCACCTTGCCAATTTTCCTCGACGGTAACTAATGCAAACGAATAATCTAGAGTAATTTAGTTCCTCACACAAAATAAGTACTGATTTCCAAAGGAACCATCCCACCTCTTGAAAATTGGTAGTTTCCAAGCAGAAACGATACACGCTCACCTACAGGTAATGATGAGTGGCACACTTGGAGTATCCAGGCCTAACTATCGACACCTTCGTTTCTATTTCCCGAGATAGTTGAATGAACAACGGATGGATGGGATAGGAAGAAACGGACGAATAAAAGGAAAATTTGGGATAAGAGAACGGTTCTCACTTGGATACCTCCTTTGTGCACGGACCGGTGGATGTATGGGATCAAGACAGACGATGCGGAGATGAACGGGTTGATTTGTGATAGACAAAAAAAATTTGTGTCCGATAAATTGAAAAAGGATGGGCGGATCGAATCCAGAGTAAAAGAAAAAATTTGGGGTAGACAAATAAATCCGATCAGATCCAAACCCGTCCTACTTCACCCTACCGAAACAAAGAGAGGTATTGCGCACCTGTTCAATCAACTCCCTCGCCCGTGTAATAATATTTGCTCCCGTATTGCACACCACTCCAGCCATCTCTATCGAATGCCACCTCGCACCTTTCCGCATCACATAACCATAAAACGAGTTGAGAATGCACTTGTGGGCCAACTGGAGACTGTCGTAGAGCACCACCAAGGCACTAGCCTGCTTCACTTCCGTAGGATCACCCACTCCCGCTTTCGTTGCTGCCATCGCATCGTCCAACTTCCGCTTCCATACCTTCGTCATCCCCTTGAACTTGTATCTCCGGTCACGGAAGGCTCTCACTGTGTCCACGTAGAAAGAATTCTCGCGTTGGCACACCATTGCCACTCGCTCCTCCGTCCTTGTCGTATGAATCCTCTTGTAAGCGCGGCGACAGAAGTCCGATAGTCTCTTCTTCTCCACCGCCGCTTGGTCCTCCTTGCTAAGCTGATGGAATGGAACGGGAGCTCCTTCCCCTTTCATAGAAAAGCGTTCTTGTTGTAACTGCGCCTGAATCCGATAGACGTCAGCTCTGGACGCCGTCCAGAGTTCACCTCGCCATTGCCAAGACATGAACCGTCGACAATCGGCTCCCGGCTTATAAAAATGACATCCTGAGCAGTGTTTATCCGGGTCTGCAGTGACTGCCGAGGGTTGAAGACGATTGGTGAGGATTATGTTGGGGTACATGGCTCCCACATCCAAGTGGACGATCGTTGGACACTCAACACGGTTTGGCATTGCAGAAAGCTGAGATAAAGCTTGTTCCACTTCGCAACAGATTTCTTCGAAGTCCTCCTTCTTCACGAGGCTTTCCACCAAACTAGGATCGCTAGCGTCAAGTTCCGTGGAAAGTGCATAAGTGATGCAACGACGTGCATCCTCACGAAGACGTTCACAAGCCGCTGGAATGAGACGAAATCGGACGGGTATATCAGCACGAAAGACTCCGGCTTCAAGAGCTTCCACATGACCACCTACGTAGGTCTCTGAGTCGATAAGCTTATTGTCATCAGTAAAAGAGTAAGTAAGTCCAGATTGATTGAGAATACCGTCGTGTGAAGCTCCAGTAGACTGCTTATGTGGGAAAACTACTTTAGCTTCATAAGCCCGGACCATCAGAAGAGCCTCACAGAGTGTTCCCGATCCCTTTCGCAACACATCATCTGGATTAACAGGAAGAATAGTGCAGAGGGCGAAGACGAAGGGATGAACATACTTCATGTATAGGTAGTAAGTTGCTACAGCATCAGAAACGGAGTAGTTGGCCAAGGTCCGAGGGTCCTCCCTAGCCATTAGACACATCACTTCAGGATCCATTTCAATTGGATCGTAGTGGAGTTTTGCCTTCGCAACAGCCTTCAGCCCATGAGCACCAATGGGCAGATAACTGTCACGCTTGACCCAACGGAAACAGTCCATGTGAACGGCTGGTCGTGCGAGATAATCACCAGCGTTTGGATCTCGTCCTGGACTAGGTCCACCCTTTACTCGGCTAAAACCTATTTCCTCAAACATGCTGATGTTGTAGACGGCTGCTCGTGCTTCAACAAACGGCCAATCGAAGCAGTCACCGTTATAAGTGACCATCACCGTTGGCTTTACGCGGAGGATGTGGTCAAAAAAGTGATGAATTAAGGCCTCCTCATTAGCCACATTAAAGACGCGGAAGTGACCAGGGAATTCCGGCCGCGGCGTAAATTCAAAGTCTTCAATGTCTTCTGCGATAATCTCTCGGTTACAGACTAGAAAACCAGTCCCATCAATCATGTAGGAGATCATCATAATCTGATCTACTGAAGCATCGGGGAATTTGAGGGGTAACTTGGTGGTTTCGATGTCGTAGGCAAGAACAACGGGTTCTGGCCATGGTACAGTTTCTTCAGTTCTATGAAACTCTGGAAGTTGGCCAGGACGGCATTTAACGGTGTACCAATGGGCAACGAAAATGTCCAAGTCAATGGAGACACGCATAAGATATGGCACATCGTATTCACGAATATCCGTGAGGTAATCATAAGCATCCTTCATTGTTCTATCCTTCCGCTGAGCACTAGAAGATCCGCCCTCACTGGAGTCCTGGAAATGCTCGCCCAACATGTCTGTGTAAGTAGATTGGTCATTCTGAACCTCTTTGTTGCGCTTAACGTGTGATGCGACTTCCTTTCGGACCCGGACGAGCTCGTCCACACAATGGAAGGAAAGTTTTAGATAGCGAGCTTTTAATCCAATCAGATGATTAGGCATGTCTAGGTCTTCTTTTTCCACCACCTCAACTTTTACAATGCGTCCAGCAAACTCGCGAGAGAGAAATGTAGTCACTTCTGTTTCAACGTCCTGATCACCATCTACGGAGACTAGGAAATAAGGCAAATAAGGTCGAGAGACTTTGAAACGTCTATCATCGGATTGGATGAAGTAAAAATCAACTGCACTAACAAGATTTTTAGAGTCATCAAGAACGTCTGTTGGATGCATGTTGACGAGCCATCCGACGCGTTCTCCTGGCCCACTAAAGGGTTCGAAACCGTAGCGTCGGTCCATAGCATCATTCGCTTTGGCACGGGTATAACGGAGTTGATTTGACGCCGACATAGCACCCTCGATATCCAATGGAGCATCGTTTTCTGACCTAATATAACTTTCTCGTCTACGGTTACCGCCGCGGAGAGAATTCCCGTATTTTCTTCGCAGCATCCTGCCAATGATGAACAAAAGGGTCAGCGGTGAATTTGGGCAATTCCGGACAAGAACGAATTAAGATTCATCTACTTTTTAAAAGAGCTACATGACTTTGGATTAATCGAGTTCTAAAACGATTTTTCATATCAAAAGATTTACTTTTCGAAATTACTACTAATTCAGTGTTACCAGAATTTTGACAGCTCAAGATTACTTTAAAGTAAGAAATTTTGATCGTTAACAGGAACTAAACTTGGTGGGTTGCTAAAAGTTCTTGTATATCCATAGCAGAAGCACATTTTGGAGCTGCTTTTCAAACTTATTGTACAAACTTGTAAAAATGAACTGGTAGCTTATACACTTGAAACTTTCAAACTGTTGAGCTTGACACGTTATTCTGGCAAAACAGATAATAATGACCCAAAGTTTTAGCGCCAAATATTTTCCATAGTGTCATAAATTTGGTGTGACTTTGCATATTTTTCTAGTTATTCACAGTCAAATATCTTTTGCGCACTTATTTGTTATTCTTTCAATGGTCATTAAGAGTTTTTGTTGGTACCGTTTGCTGCGGCACTGAAATAGACTTATTGGCATAACATGAAGTGCGTAAGTGCATTGACATTGCAACATAAAAACTGTTATATCTGGAACAATTTCAGACTACGTTTCCTCTGATTTGCTTGACTGAAACTAAGGTCAGCCAATTGGTTAATTTCTATTTGGGGGATTGATTTCATTTGGCACCATAATGCTTCTTCCATTCACCCATGTAGAATTCAAGCGCCATGAGACTTCCATTAAGTGAAAACAATTCGCAGTAGTATGGCGGGAAATACATTACCAGCACGCAGAAGGAGTGAGAGGCTACTGCTAAAGCTCAAAGGGCGTACCGCTAAACAGAATTGCGATTTGTGGAAAGCCAACGCCGAGTTGATCAAACTGTCAAAACATTACACCATCTCCTTTATTTAATTCAAAAAGCTAGCTAACACATCACAAATATAAGACTTACGAAATCAAGAGTATCGTATGCTTTTTATAAGCCATGTTGATTTAATAAGCTTTTAAGCTGTTCAACCTGTAAAGAGTAGGACTTTGGGAGAAAATTTAGTTTTTTAGGACCACTGGCCAATTATTCCAATCACATAGTCTGTGGGTCAAACGTTATTTAATCTTAGCCTGAAAGTGAACATTTCGTAAAGGACCAATTTTGCGAGGCTTTTTGAGGTAGAGAGATCTTGTTAGGGTGCGTCATGTGATGCCTCGAAAAACCATACGACAGGCTTTCATTAAAGCCCTGTGTAGTGGTGTGACCAACTTTTGTAGTGTTCTTTACCATTGCACCATCTGTTGTACCTCCCGACTGAAAGTTAATGGCAATGCAATTAAATGCTTCTTCGAAATCGTCTTCGTTGTGATCATTTATCAAGTAAAGCTCTCTTGACTCGATTGCCATTTTATTTCGATAGTAAGTGGTAAAAACTCGTTCCTATTGATTCACTCAAGTAATTGAAAACCCGTTTTCCCGGTAAAGCCGATTTAAACAAGCATTAAGTACCAAAATTTAGATACTCCGGAATCAAGTTAAAAAATTGATAATTTTTCTTGCTACGCAAAATACCTGATGATATTTGAGAAGTTAAGGAGATGAGGAGAAACACGTAGGCTTGGGTACATCTTCTAGGGAAAAAGCTGTCAATTTGCACCAACCTCGTAGTTGAGTGGGCGTCACTAAGGTTTAAGGAGGGGACAGACTCTGATCCCCCGTAAACTGTGGTAGTCAGTACGCCTCTCCCTCCCGGTTAATAAGCTAATATAAGATGTCTTCCGTCAACCCAATCTTCTCCGCCCAAGGGTCTGTATCTGGAGGTAGGAGATGGAAACGATAGAAAGAGTAGAGAAAAATTTTTTATCTTAAATTGAGTTTAATTTTGGTGGAAATTAGAACTCTACGTTGATGTTGAAGTGCGCTTCAATTTTATATCGTGTAGTCTTAACTGACCTCTGATGTTAACCGACGGCAGAATGAAATGAGTCCGTCGTAGATAAATCTAATCAAAGTCTCTATGACGCATCGTTACTGTCACAAAGGGAGTTCCTTCGTCTTCTTCTCATGAAAATTACTTCAGATTTTTTTAGATCTAACTTAGCATGACACCAACTTTTTCTGCCGCTAGGATATGTTGAGTTATGGAAAGAAGATTCCTAAATTAGAAATAATTTTTGAAGAATATTTTGCAAACCTTGTTTGCAGTTAAAATGATTGCAACCACCTAAGACTTCCCTGGATTCTAAATTCTCAAGCTTGTTATGAACAAGCCGAAGGGTAGAAGGCTATTAAAATAACCGGAGAACCATGCCTCTGAACAGTAGTGCAACCTAGAAGGACTGAACACCCTATGTATTTAAGCGTAAAGTTGAGTAAAGTCCCAGGTAACTATACAACTTACTTCTTTTGAGTGTTTGTCTCTGGTGCTACCCTTGGCCATTCTTCTGCGTTGACCCAATACGGAGCAGTTGAGGCTTCAACAACCACTTCCCAACCAGGAACAGCAGTCATTGAATTTCATGTAGGCGAGAGAGGTCATTCGATGTTAATGTTTAACGATGGACTTGAGAACCTCCAGTATACCTGATTTTTTGACCTAAAAGGGAATGCATTCAATGCAAAACCTGATTTTAAGTAGCTTAATAAAGTTAGTTTTCTGTGTCACTTCCTTCTTGACACTTAGTTCTCAATCACTTCCGTCCAGCAGCCAATTTGGATTCCATTCATTCAGTAGAAGATGTAGAGGAAAATTCATTTGTCCAATTAGTCAACGTCTTCATGTAAGTGCTGCCGACAGCTTCATGATGGACTTTTTCTATAGTTTAAACCGCGGGATTGGGTAATTACCAAGGTTGGACCTCCGTTTAATCCTTCTGTTGGGGATGCCTGTACCATATGCGCTTCTTCAGTGTTGCTAAGCTTTGACAACTAGTCACAGGAATCAGACTTGTTGCCCCCCCCCCCCCTGCAGCTGCTGTGTAGAACTCGAAATTGGGGGTTGCTCAAAAGTTTTTACCGATTTTAGACCTCTAGAACTGCCATCTCATCAACTTGTCAACAGATCAGAATTTCTCTTCACTTTGATAGGGTTAGCATATTGGTGTCAATACTGAATTGCTCTGAGTTTTTCCAAAAGTCAAAGAAAAATTTACTACGAAAAATGAAAAAGTTGAAAGACCGTTGGCACCGTTGAGAGCAAATACAATCGGCGGAGATAAAAGACCCCTACTGTATGCCAGTGAATGCTAGGTTTTCGCTATTTTGATGCTTGAACAATCCCGTTTATGGACCAAATTTATGTGCAAAATATCGTCACACAAGCTCTGTAAAGCTTTAATTGACAAAAATAAAGTTCACTGGCTTTTATCTTTACAAAAGACAGTCCTTTAACCGCCCACCACGTGCGTGCTCTCGTTCCACACACAGGGTGGCATAATTTTCACCTTGTCACCTCGGGTTCCGGTGATTTTGTGTGTGCGCATTCCTTACCTGAACCGCCCCAATTGGTTGCACGCATTCAAACCTCTCGTCTATAAAGAACAGCCACGTTTTTGGCGAAATCTCATATTCCAACACACCAAGTCTGCAAAAAGAGTACCGAAAATGCGTGCGTACACTCCGGAGGAGAAGCGTAGTTTGCTGGACAAGTTTCACTTAATGGACACGGATAACAACGGCGAATTGTCGACAGCTGAAATTTTGCAATGTTTAAAGGATTCGAATTTGCCAAAAGGCAAGCTAGAGGTGAGTTATGAGATTTTATTTGCACTGGTTCTTTTAGAGGTGACTTGACGTTTTAAATCAAGCAGTGGCTCCTCGATGTAAAATTTCTTCGAAAATGTTAAGCATAATTCAGTTGCCATATTTAGACTCTTTAGTAATAAATAGTTATTTGTCAAAAATAGTCGATTTAAATCTGAAATGAAAAATAAGTTCAGGTTAGTAGCTTCGTGTTGGCATCAGCAGAGCGATTTTTCAATAAAGTAAACTATCAAATAAGCTTTTACAACCAAAGTGTCGATTTTTTTTCCGAGACCTTTATAAATCTGTAAACTCTTGGAGGAGTGAAGTACACATGTAGTTGTTCTTTTAGATCGGTTTTAGTTGTCTGCTAAGCCAACAAACTCAAAATTATCTAAACAGTTGTTTAATAATGTTCGGTTAGCTAGTAACTGCTGCTTTCTTCATTGCTAACGCATGAAAATGGTTTATGTACTGTTATTATTGGTAATCAACGTACAATGACCGAACTAGGCAATTAAATGCTTTTTTTGAATCACTGAGCTCCTTTTGTTTATAGCTAAGTGGGCATACCCCTTAGGGGCCTCCAGCATTTAACAATGGGTTGCATGAAGGGAATATCCTCCTAAAACTGTGGAGTTTTTAGTAAATTAATGAGAAGACTTTATCCTTTGGAGTATTTCAATCGGTGTATATCGAAATTACTTGGGTTGCAGTTCATTTTGGGTCTTTAAAGATTGTGCACTTTTGGGTTTGAGGATACATTTCACAAAAAGCGGTAAATAAACATTTTTCGCGTCTATATAAGAATGTCTAATTTATGTGTTTGTTGATTTGACCCCTTTCATTTCTTCATGGGGTGTTTACAAGCAACATTTTGGAAAGTTTTAATTCCCATATCATGTCAACTGTCGCGAAGTAAATAAGTTGGACTACTGGGTTAATCGATTTGCATAAGACCTTCAAAGTCATCCATTCTCCTTTTTTTTCAATTCATCCATCACATTTCTTGGTCGAAAAAGCCCGATCTACACCATGGATAAGTCCCGTGGAATGGTTAGAAAAGTGCTTTTGGAGCAAGATAATAGGCCACGAGACATGGAGACGCAACCACCCACACCTCTTGGCGTTGCCGTGGGCCATGGAGTCACAGAGCAGTTGCCGCTTCATTCTGATTGGGTAACCTAACGCCCACGCACCTACACACACACACATGGAGCTATAAAAAACGCCTGCCTAGACAAAAACCAGACCGCATCACTTCATTAGCGTTTTTCAAGTCTGGTACAATGACTCTTTCAAAGGCTGAGAGGCAGGCATTGTTGTCAAAGTTCTACAATATGGACACAGATAGAAATGGCATATTAAGTAGATCGGAGATTGAGAAGTGTCTCGAGGACTCGAACCTGCCTAAAAGTGTTGCTGCAGTAAGTCCTTCTCCGCCCGTTTAATTACTGCCACTATGCGCTTACAAAAACCAACCTTCGTAATAAAACATTCAAACGTTTTTCTTGAAAATGTAATTTTGCAAATTTTCCTTCTTATTTTTTTACAAATAACTTTAATGATTCCTCGACAGAATACCATCTTTTCTTGACTGAAAGTCGGTTCATAACTGACTGACCGACGATCGTTAAGATAGTCGACCGAAAAGTGTTTTTTGATGAATTTGGATCACATTTATTGGCCGACTTTGTGAACAAACAAATTCCATGACGTCAATGACAATGACAGCAGGCGGTCCCAGACCGATTCGACTGATTTTAATCCATTTCAGTACAGACAACAAGATCCGATTGGATGGAGCTAGGCCTTTTATACATTTTCCCCGCTACTTTTCCTCATCCAGCCCCTAAGTGAAATTGCATACTCCTATTCAAACAATTCCAAGATGTTTAACACATTATTTTTTTTTCTTAAGTCATGATTAATGAGAAATTTTTGCCATAGGAAGAATTTATCCTAACCGGGAGACAGGGTCATGCGATCAAAGATCACGTTATTTTAATGACTGTGGTAAAATGATCTGGGGTGGTGAGATCGCACGCCACACATTCTTTGACAGTGTGACAAATTTGGGGTCCACCCCATGCGCCACCTTTTTGCGGCGTTACGCCTTATTTACCCTTTTCTTTCGCCATTTGCTAGGACCCACAATTTTTTTTTCTCCTAGAGTTTTTTAATTACCGCAAATTAGTCATTTGCTCACGGTCAGTATTGATTAGATAAAGCTGGACGGTGTGGCGAAACCGACCTCTCGTGTCGGCGTTAGCTTGTCACGTGAAGCGTGTCCACTAAATCGATAATCGATTCGAGACACTCATGCACGCACTGACAGCTGTATTTGGGATCGGTGATTCGGGGAAAACGGCTTTGATGGGCCCAGTTTTTCCTGGTTCGAGGAACGAGTAAATGTTGATTCCACCATTTAACACCTTGAAAATGTCCTTTTTTGACAAAATTGGCAATAGATTTTAGGAAATTCGGCTACACATGAAATTGAACATGTGATCAGTTGTAAGTATAGGATTCTGGACATGGTGAACAGGTTCGTTGACAAAGATCACAAAGGTGAACTCATGCGATTGGATAGGCTTAAAATACAACCCACGGTATAGGCATTTTGGGATATGCATACACGTGCTTTTTAATACCCTCAAGGGACGCATTTGGTAAGTTCAGGTTTTTCATAGAGGATTTCCCTTAATTGTAGAATCGAAGCCCATAAGTCCTAGCTACCTTGTGATAACGAGCTAACTCGTTTGCACTTAAGGCCAGCGCTTACACTAAATCTTCCATTAGAGAAAACTTTTTTGTATGCCAATATGCCGACATCATACATACCTACGATCAAAGGTGAAGCATGCTCGTACACGTCACAATGGCATTCCGAGCAATCGCACTCTCACTCAACATAGTACCACTTTTGAGTGTTTAGCACGGCGTCAGTTTTAAAATGCTCTACCAAAAAATACGGCGAAAGCTAAATTTGGCGGCCAATTTAGCGAATCCACGCGATCAAATTTTAGCCCAATGCACAGTTATCTCTTTGCAGATTAATTCCTTCCTGAAACTCCCTTGGAAAATAAATCCCACTGCAAAAGTAAAAATTTAATTTTGAAGAAATCGTTTACAATGCAATCATTAAATGCTGGAGGAAAGATCTTTAATGCTGTTTCCACACTTTTCAGGAATTTCTCAATCTTTTTGATGCTGATGGTGACGGGAGAGTCACACTGGACGAGTACGAACGTGCGCTTGGACTAAAGGAAATTCCCGAAACCACGTAGGTCCAAAGAACTATTAATGAAATTTATTACTAGAAAATATTTCCGACTTTGTATTTTCGGCCTTTTTTTGTTTTCAGGATTAATGACTGGAAGCAAACCTTTGCACAGATGGATGTGGATAATTCCGGTTTCCTGACAGTATCGGAGATCCATGATGGCCTTTCGCAGATCGGTGTGAACATCTCCAAAGCCGATATTTCAGATTTTATTAAAACTGTTGACGATAATGGGGATGGAGTGCTAACTGTTGACGAATTCACAGCTCTGATGCGTCTAAATACTTAAACAGACTTCTGTCCAACTGAATCTTGCATTGTATTTTTGATATCATTTGTAAATTGCTCCGATTTTATCAGAAAATTTAGTAAGCCCGTCTTTTTTACTTAACATTAAACATTTTCAAGGGAAACGTAAATGGGTGTGTAATTTGGTTAATAGGTGAGGGGCTACGTGGTTGAGCCAAGAGATGCAAAGAAAAGAGTGGTTGCCTGGTATGATGCAACCGTTATGAAACTAAGATCATACAATGAGTAAATAAGTTAGGTCATAAAAGCACATTGATGTACCGGCAACCTCAAAGTTGATTGCATCACACGTCTCGGATGCTTCACAGATTGAAGTAATGTTAATTATTAACTTTCTGAACCTCTTGTGTATATTCGCGCAGCAATGTTCTTTCGGTTGATGCAAAAATGTTCTGGATTTGTGACGTTCCCTTTTATAAATGAAGTACTGTGCTACATGCCAGATAGACTTAAAGGTCATAAGCAATGTATGTAATCTTACGCATTCAAAAGTAGTTCAACAAGTTTGGTTTTTAAATTTGTAATATAATTGCCATGATTGTTTGAACGCATCGACCGAGGCGACACAATTTCAGTTCACGTCCTACGGATTGAGGTTCTGCTGTTTGCAACCTTGCATGATATTCAAGGAACTTACAATTAGTCATGCCAGTTCTTATACCTAGAGCTCTTCAGGGATTATATTTTCTATGTGAGCCGATAGCTGACGGGTCTTTTGGCAGATTATACCTTGCTATTCACGCTCTAACGCGTCAGCATGTTGCAATAAAGATCATCGACAAGAAGAAACTTGGGGTTATTATGCTTCTTTCGTTAATTGATATTATAGGCTGAAGTGTTTCGCGTACGTGGAGAAATTGAGGCTCTCAAACGTCTATCTCATCCTAACATTTACTCCCTTTACCAAGTCATCGAAACGGATGGCACTTTCTACCTCATTCTTGAGGTTTGACAACACCGTTAAATAATTTTTTTGTCAGTACGTTCCTGGTGGTGAGCTATTTGACTATATTTTGCACAATGGAAGTCTACAGGAGTCACACGCTCGAGTTTTGTTTCGACAACTAGTTTCTGCAATTGGCTACTCCCATTCAAGGGGCATAGCTCATCGCGACCTTAAACCAGTATTATGGCACACTTCTCCCTTATCAGCTATTTATTTAGGAGAACATATTACTGAAAGACGAACAGAATATCCGCGTCATTGATTTCGGACTTTGTGCAAAGGTTCTGTTCATTTTCTCTTGATATATTTTTCAGAACGTTGATAGCAAATTCCTCAATACTTACTGTGGATCTTTAGCTTATGCTGCTCCAGAGGTTCTTCAAAATCAGGAATATAATGGTCCCGCAGTAAGTGAATAATGCTATTTCATGTTTTATCGCTATTCACACTGCTCAAATATTCATGTGAACAAGATTAATCAATTGACTTTAATTATCCACTGTGCTTACAAATATTCTTCAATTATGTACTTCTATTTTGCTCTAACACTAGCTGTACTACACTTTTCCTGTTTCATATAGGCCGATATCTGGTCCATGGGAGTCATACTCTACGCCATTCTCTGCGGCTCCCTACCCTTTGATCCCTCTAAACCCGAGAAGCTACCCAAACTCATTGTGGTTAGTTCTGCACTTTTGCCTCAAAACCTTCGTGCCTCTCCGTAGAAAGGTCAGTACAGCGTGGACGAGTCACTAAGCGCAAGCGGTCGCGATCTCCTCGCCCAAATGCTCTGCGTCGACCCCACCGCTAGAATTAGTATGATGGAGCTCAGCACTCATCCCTGGGTTATGCATGGCTTCGATGCGCCCATCGATATCTTTTGCTCCGATATGAAGCTGGACGCTCCGCTGAATCAAGACATTGTACGAGAAATCTCGCTCTACACCCGCATACCTTGCGTGGAGATGACTCGTATGCTGCGCAAGGTGGTGTACCCATTTTTCATACATAAATGTTTTATATCTGGGATCAAAACTGTTTACTCTGATGATTTGTTTAAAAGAACGGAGGATTTTATAACTTCTCGAGCACTGGACAGTATAATGAATTTGGCTGACTAAAGTCTTGAGTCCAATCATTATTTTTTTGGTTTACAAAAGAAAAGCAGATGTTGAGGGACGGAAACACTGCTTTTCTGCACAACTTCCTGCCACGCTCGTATATCTTACCTATTTCCAGTGTATGACATTAGAAAAGCTTTGGCAAATGTTTTTCACTACGACATAACCATCCCAGGTATCCGGCGTGTACTAAAATTGCTTTTGGCATTGCATATTTTCGCGAATAGTATGCTCACTGTTCCGCCTGAGAGATTCGTCTCTTCATGACAAGTGATTGTGCAGTGATTGAATGGGCATCCAGGCTCAGACGTTCCATAGGCTATGTTGAATGCTCACAGTAATGTCGACTGTGGATCGGGAAACACCACACATGGGACTGTCACTAGCGGACTGAGATCTATGTGGGCAGTAGCCTGCAAGTTTGATGCTCGCTTTCATGCAAATCAATCACCGTATGCTGTATGCTCTATGTACGAACCATCGCTACCGCGATGCGTCACGTGCACACTTCTTTTCATGTGATCCGCTCTCTTGACTTAAATGCCATTCGTCCTTTCAAAATTAAAACATTTGATGTGGAATTATTCCCTGATTCCAAAAGGCAAAGTCGAGCATTATCTGCTTGACTGTAGAAATTGACTTATCTTGTGTATTCGTATGACAGGAAATGGGCTGAGGGTGATGGTCCGTACCGAGTGTATTAGTAAAGTCAATTTCTGGTTCCATTTAATTCAATCAGTGACGGACAACTCTTAAATACCTCTATTTCGCATTACTGATGACTCAGTGAAGTAAGGCAAGAGCCATCTGACCATTTTGAAAAGAAAATCGATTCATTTTGGATCTAATCGTCTGCTCTTGGTCCGCGAACTCCTGTCAGCTTTGTTCATCTACTTTTGGACAATCCATCCCTTAGGAATCCAATCAATCGATTTATCAAATCTGTCATTATTGCATGTATCCTTTCATCCGTCCACCTATCCATGCAATCTTCATTCACAATTCATTTTCATATTCGTCTAATGCATTAAAACTACTGATGGTGATATTCCTTTGATGACAGCTGAAAACATGAAGTTTAAGACGTTTGCGAGTTTGAGGTAATTATACCCTGTTTCCAATAGATTCAGCCAAATGATAGACATTACCTTCCCTTGTTCATATGCGTTTTAATAACCTTCCCTTCCTTTCTTACTCCTCTCTCCCCTCCATGATTGGGATCCTGATACGATGGGAATGGTTATCGTGCGAATATTAGACGTAGCCATAGCTTCACTAAGAGTAGGTCCGTTTCATTCCTAATTCTCATCTATCCACTTTTGATTCTTCCATCTATCAAATTGGCTTGAATTTGCCTAGCCGCTCCGGCTTCATTCATAAATTCATACGTCCTAAATTTGCCCATTCGTCCGTTCAGTCCTTCATGCATCCATCTCGGATTCATTCATCTTACCGGAAGAATTTCTCCATTCATCAAAGCAACATATTTAGGCGTCGAGTAATCTATTTTCATCACATCCCATTGATATCCCAACCAAGTAGATAGTTCATTCGTTGATGATTTAAATAATGGGTTGTCTTTATTTGTCTCTCCACAAAATTTAAACCGGGAAAAGACAGTTTTAAGGTGTATTCACAATTCAAATATTACTGAGAATCGGCATGTTTGAGCATGATTACAAATTAACTTGTGGGTTCGAAGTACTGACGTGAAGCTCCTTTAGCAACGGCCAATGCAGATTGACAATAGTAGGTTACGAATCACTGTGGCGACCTGTACCGAAAATCGGATGAGCCGCAGAAGGAAAAGACCTTGAAGGTTAGCTTAAAACCTGAATGATTGTTCAAAGTAACATTGGACTGTTTTAAGGTCCCAAAGACGGTCTTACTGACACTTCTTTAAATCCATCCCCGTTTTTACGCGACTAGTAACCTTAAATAGTGTGATATGTTTAACCGTATACTTCGGGTCCACCCGTGTACTTCTGATTCATAGATCCCCCTCTGGTTCCGTAACTTGTACACTCACTATAAATCCATTTATTTTTCTGGAATTCATTCATCCATCTCAGAATCCTTTACACACCTACCAATTGAATTTATTCCATCCAATTTTCCACTCACATACGTACTTGTACTTTACTTGACCTTTATTTGGATTTATCCCCTAGCGCCCCTACGACTACCTTATGGCGACCTACTTAATAATGCAGCGCCTTTATGTGGAAGAGGACATTCTTCTCCTTCTCCAGCGTCGATCTCAACACCAACGCTCAATCACCAACAGCGAGGAGGGAACCACCTCTGCGCCGCCACAACCTCGAGTGCGTTGCTCACTTCGCCCCCATCGTCCCGCTGGCGCAGCGTTATCGAACTCCGAGGCACTCCGAGGTCATCCCAACTCACAATCAACTGCTGACGCTGCGGCGTCGGTGCCGACGTCAGCGAAGCACAAAGTGAGGGAGGCCCTTCCAACCCCTTTCCTAACGCGTAGTCTGTTTGGCTGGCATGCCAGCAGAATGAGTCATCGGTTTGGACGGTTTAGGGACAGCTTTGGGTAGGGGCTTGGCCATTGCGGTAGACTTGTGGTACGTCTGAAATTGGCTTTGTTATCAACGTACAGACGGGTCGGGAGATCGGTGGCCAAGACGACTTTAAGTACTCATAATTAATTTTTTTTCTGTACCAGCTTCTGCCACATTTTCAGCGTCGTTCCCATTCCTTTCAGTAATTTTTTTTTCGGATTCGCTATTAGTATAGTTATTTGCAATATGCAGGGAGGATGACCACGGCAAAGAGCCTTTCAAATTTGTAGATGCTGATTCGCTGCGCCCAAGCTTTGGTAAATGATGCTCCACAAAGTGGCTATTTCGCATGACAATCACCTTTGGTAGGAATATTTGTCTAAGGACAAGATGTGAAGTATCGGGTGGCCTAGGAAGCTGATGTCCTACTTGGGATAGCCTTTCACAATGACTTGTTGTGACTCGTCGGAACTTGTCAAATGGGTACGCTTGTTTATGCGCATGTACTATAACGCGTAGGCATCGGTCGGTCTACCATTGGTACGGTAATCTTTTTCGGGGCTCCTACAATATTCCCGACATTTCAGACCTACGTAACACACAAATGGTGGTTGAACGAACCTGATGATTGCGATTCGGGCTTGCCTACCTTACGAGTCGAGTTTGCTTCGGTTCCAACTATGCGGAATCGTTCTTTTCAAAAATGGAGTAAAATGGATCTAAATGGATCATAAGTGAAAGTATCTAATCTTGAACATGACGAATTATGTGCTATTATTGGCTTGAAAAATTAGGGATTAAGGTGGCAACATCCTTTAGCAATACTTAACTTGAGAGATAAAATAATTGGCAGATGGATCTGGTCCTGCATGCATTAACATATGGTTGTAAGCTTTAAACACCAACAATTCGTTCTTCATTTCCTTACGTCAAGTTACAAAACGTGCCTTTGGGGATTGTGGTTCAGTGTTGAGCAAATGAGCACGTCATTGATTACCTTCCACGATCCATTTGCTATCCACTCTACACTCCTGGGACTACATCTTGACCTGTTCTTACAAGACAATTCGAGATTCGAGGTTTTACTCAGGAATGAGATATTGCTTCATCCTGTCACCCCATTATATTTCTCCGGGGAGTGGTCATCACCTTTTTTCCGGGTATTCGACAACCACATGATCATCTACGAGAAGGGTCAAATATTACATGTAACTGAGAATAGAATGGGGATTTACCGACTTGTGTTTCATTTGGGAAAGAATGATTAATTGCAGCGATGAACATTTCGGCGAATGAAATGTTATACGAGCCATTTAATAGCTTTTTTTGTTATAAGAGAACTCCAGAGACCTATTCTATTACCTTATCCATAATGACATTTTTCTTTGTGCACTGTGTCCGTCACTAATCCCTTCTTTCCATGTTTTCGCCAAGTTTTGCCCCTCATTTCGGTTCCTTGCTACCTGTCGAAGTTTTTAGTTTCTAACTGTTGTTTATGTTTCACACTTTTCATGGAGAAATTGTAGAATGTTTTTTTGAACCTTTTCGATTTGTTCAAACCTGACCTCGTTTCATTGCTGACTAATGTGCAGAATTTGGGCTTGCCATCGTTACCAAATGCTGGTACACTGCCAATTTCCACCCATTCAGCTAGCCCTAGTTGATGCATTCTCTCTGTGATGTCTTGACCTAGCTAGTATTCGATCCGTGAAAAGTAGTATTACCGTTTTCACCTTGGAGTGGTTTCGTCAACGTCAATTGAATTGTGAGAGACGTTTTTTCTACTTCCACTGGGAAACCATCGGTAAGGCTTTACTGCAAACAAGCGGCAGATTTCGGCGTACTCTAATCTTTGGTGTTGTTCGACGGAGAACGTGTTTTACAATGAGGTCCAGGCAAAATTGTCTTGTTGTTGTAGAATGTTATCACCGACACCAATATGACGAACCAGGCTGCAGTTCTTATGCCTCCTCCTGCGACATCGAAACGGAGTGTCGGTCTTCAGACCCCCTCGAGGAAGGAAGGTGGGCGGATTTTTTTTCTGCTACCTTCTTCTCTCTCAAAAAAATGATACAAAGCTGTGTATTCTCCTTTTCTTCCCAGTTCCCAAAATCACCACTCTCTCACCGGGTCGTTCTGTCGATTCTCAACTCAACCAACTCACCAAAGATTTGCGTCTCAGCGATCCCGATGATTAGCAAGTGAAATTTGTGAACTTTTCCAACGGATGGAAATTTTCTTGTTATCACTGAAAACGTCATAAGACACCAGTAGGGAAGGTTTATCAATGGCTGATTGGATATAGATATGGACAGGACTCCATGGCACGAAGCTGTGGTGAAATAAACCTATGTAGGCTATGTAGACTAGGACCAGATTCACAACGATCGTGACCGTTACTGACAGACTTATGACTATCTCTCAAAATAGTCTGCTACTGAACGGCTAAGCACTACGTTATTGTGCAAATTGTTTCAGGGCTTCACTATTACTCTTGCCTTTTATACTCCCACTACTACTGACTGGTTCACACATCATATTCCCCGGGTGTAGTGTGTAGTTATAAGGACACGCTTGCCATTTACTACTGCGTTTTGTTTCTATCGCCACGAATGAAAAACTTGAAATTTCGGTTTAGCTTTAGCATCTCTACAATGCTTTGTTACGCATTCTTCTTCACGATATAGTAGTTCTCGTCCACCCTCAGAGCAATTATTCCTACGAGAGGAGGTAGAGATGGATGTGGACGTGGAAGAGATGGATGGAACCACTAAGGCAACGACCAATAGCGCCGGAGAGTTGTTGAATATGGGCTCAAGGCTCAACGATACAGATTCTTCAGAGCTGGTGGCGATGATGAATTCCAGTAGGCGCTCCCATGACAGATGTGAGTCAGCGGCGTTTTTTTTTTTTTCGCTATTGGAATTCTCATATCCCTTCGGGTCATGTGTGTTTTTGGATCAGTATCTACTATAACAACACCACTTGGTCGTTATTGCTTTGTGTAGTGTCCAAAATGTAGCTTTGCTATAAACGAAGGGAAGATCTGAGAGTGTATCAGCACTGTTCTAGGGCACCGTCGTGGAGAACGATTCACAGGAGACTGAATGGATCCTTAGTCGATTCATTTAGACGTAGTCTCCTGTTGGAGCAATCGGTAACATCTACCGGGGATAGCCCGTTGCGCTGTTGTTAATATAGAATCTGAGTGATCTCAGAAGGCATTAAATGGTATACCTTCACGTAAGTGGTTTAGTGTAGCAGCAGATCTCTACATCAATAACTAGGATCCTTTTGCTCATTTTTTTCTGTGAAAGTATGGATGGATTGAGAGCTTTGAAAATGAGTTTTACTGTGGTAACAAGCAGTACGAATGCCTAAAAGCTGTAATTTAATCGACTGGGTGCTCGATGCTGATTTTGAAGAGAAGCCAGCTAATGTAGGCGATCTGAGATTGGACTAAATTGATGAATTTTTGTTGTTGGAGTGAGGTGAATACATCCATAACGGAGGGGAGCACTGGAGACATCTATCCATCCCAAATTGTGCGCAAATTAACAGCAATATGCAGTTTAGATTGTTGAAAACTGAGCAGAGTTTGAAATCAGGATGTTCATTATAACGGTTGGATAAGTTGAGTGAAACAGAAGCGGCTTATAAATAACTAATCTAAACTAACTAACTAACTAAACATGTATGCAATCTAAGCAGTCAATTGCAGAGGAGAGATATTTTTGACGAATTGACTGGGACAATTTTCCTTGGCTGATGAAGGTCGATTATCAAACCAGAAATCTGTTCACCCAAAAAACGCTGCCGCCAAGATTATGCAGACGATTTAAATCTGGCGAGGAGGAGTTT